GGCATCATTGGATAGGATAGTTTATTCTTTGAATGTTAACAATCTTTTATATTATTCGTTTTCCCCCTAGAAACTAAATGAGTTGGAATTTCTGAACGGACGTCTAATATCTTATATAAAAATGCACTCGGATAAATAACAATCGTGGAAGTTAGTTCTGGAAAATAAGACTCTATTTTATTGTGGGTGTGAGATTGCGTCGAGTTGTCAATAGCACATGGGTCATAATATCTCTTTCCAAATTATATATTACGTATTTGTTATAATATTTGCAAGCACATCAAACAAGTGCATATATGACCACATATATACAGTATAGTTTTTCTTTTTTTTTTCCCCCTCAAACATCTATATCTAATTATCTATTTACACATGTAACACATCCATAGAACAATTTCGATCTCTACAAAATACACTTCTTTATAACTACAAATTACACTTTTGATGGGACCAAACGACCAATCCATATTTAGCCGTACACCATGAAACAAAATACCAGCAAAACACATATATTATACATTTAAAAGTAATGGAGAAGAGTGGGCCATGCATTCATATAGTAGTTTGAGTTTAATTGGCCTTTACTTAATTCATTACTCTTAAGTCTCTTATGGGTCATATTTAAAGGAGCCAAATTAAGCTATGCATGCGAAACCGCAGCCAAACATTTGAAAGACAACTTTTAAACGTATCTGAATCCAAATCCTAACAAATAACTAGATTAATTTAATTCAGTGAAAAGCTATAAAATTATTTTAATTATGTGGAAAAGTTAAATTGTCGACAACAAAAGTGAAAAAAGCTTAACTAATTTAAAATGAATTGGGATGGGATAGTTAGGTCAAGTTTGCTTCTTAGTTCTTTAGATTCTTCTGTGTGTTGTTTGGTTGAGTTCTTACTATTGCCACATCACTACATGATTATAAATATGTATGCATAATATCTGCAGCATCTACCATTTTATATTACAACTAATTAAGAGCATACCCCTTTAGTCATAATTGTTTTATTTGTTTTGTAAACAAAAATCGTTATTGTGACAACAACAAAAAAAAACAAAAATCGTTATTTTGCATTTTTTAAATAAAATCCTTGTTTTCCACGAAGTCTTATTTCTCGTAAACTCCTAATTTTGCATATAAAATAAAAGGTCAATTTGCCG